TGACGGATCGATGGCGGCGCCGCTCGGCCTGATTGTTCTGCTGCCTCTGATTGTGACGAGCAGCAGTTTGAGTGAGTGCAGGTTGGAGAAGAGCAGCGGAGCGTCTGATTGGACTGATTTACAGACCAGCATCTGCATTAGATGGAAAGAAATTCTGGCAAAAACTGAAAAACATTGAGACGTTCCTCTGCTGTCGTCATCCAGAGAAACCATCCACACAACAACCATCCCTTCATTCAGCTGATAGACTGATGATCACCTTTGTTTAGTGTCGAACAAACCTCGAGTCACTTTGGACACGTTTCAAGTCAACTGTTTTTAAACAGAGTCAGATTGACTTAAAATGACTTTAAGCTTTGAGTTGTTTTAGACGTTTTTAGTCCCTTTTGACAGACTCTGAGTCAGTTTTTAATTAGTTTTGACACATTTTGATTAACTGCTGATTACATTTTGAATCACTCGATGAGCTCATTGACTTATTTTTGACACGTTCTCGTCACCTTCATGGATTTCGGCTCAGTTTGGTCCAAGTTTTAGTCACTTGGACAAGTTTCGAGTCATTTTGATGAATCTTTAGTCGTTTTGGACGAGTTTTTGGGTCATTTTTGATAAATCTGGAGTTATTTCAGTGAAACTTTCAGTCCCTTTAGAAGTCATTTTGGAAAAGTTTTAAATGATTTTGGACACTTTTGATTAACTTTGGGCACGTTTTGGGTCATTTTGATTAAATTCTTAAATCCTTTGGTTAAATTTTTTAGTTATTTTTGACACATTTTAGTCGTCCTGATCGATTATGAGTCACTTTAATCAAGTATTGAGTCAATCTGAACGAGTTTTCAGTCATCTGGAGATAATTTGAGTCATTAAGGACACAATACAAGTCAGTTTGAGTCATTTTGATGAATCTGGAGTCATTGTAGACAAGTTTTTGGAGATATTGGACATATTTTACTTAATTTTTGGAAAGATTTCAAGTCATTTTGGACATGTTGCGAGTAATTTAGGCAGGTTTTGAGTCATTCTGAACAAATTATTAGTCATTTTGTGCAAGTTCTGGATCATCTTGATTCAATTTTGAATCATTTGGACACATTTCAAGTCATTTCTGACACATTTTGAGTCATTTTGATAAATTTTAATTCATTTTGGGAACATTTCAAGTCATTTTGAACAAATTGAGCCAGTGAGATCAGGTTCTGAGTGCTTTTGAACAAACTATGAGTCATATTGTGCAGGTTCTGGATCATTTTGATCAAATTTGGAATAATTTGGACACATTTTGAGCCGTTTTTGATAAGTTTTGCGTTTTAAGATCAGACTTTTTTTTATGAGTGGAGCATCTGAACGATCCTGCTGATTTTATTATGAGCAGCTGTCATCATGACTAATATTCTAATAATTATTCTCAGAGCAACAACACAGACAGAACTCTGTAGAACCGGAGCTGGATGAACACTGATCCGTTAAACAGTTCCACTATAACCCCGTCAGTCCTGATCCTGTGCGGAGCAGCATGTAGACGTGTCACTGAT